AGGTGCAGGCAGGAGGTCACAGGACAGACCCAGCAGGTGCCATGGGTTGACTGCTGTGCCAGGCTAGGTGCAGGAGGAGGTCACGGACAGACCCTGCAGGTGCCATGGGTTGACTGCTGTGCCAGGCTAGGTGAGGTGGAGGTCACGGGACAGACCCAGCAGGTGCCATGGGTTGACTGCTGTGCCAGGCTAGGTGAAGGAGGAGGTCACGGGACAGACCCTGCAGGTGCCATGGGTGACTGCTGTGCCAGGCTAGGTGCAGGAGGTCCGGGGACAAGACCCAGCAGGTGCGCCATGGGTTGACTGCTGTGCCAGGCTAGGTGCAGGAGGAGGTCACGGGAACAGACCCAGCAGGTGCCGTATGGGTTGACTGCTGTGCCAGGCTAGGTGGCAGAGGGATCACGGGAACAGGACCCTGCAGGTGCCATGGGTTGACTGCTGTGTCAGGCTAGGTGCAGGTGGAGGTCACGGGACAGACCCAGCAGGTGCCAGTGGGTTGACTGCTGTGCCAGGCTAGGTGCAGGTGAAGGTTCACGGACAGACCCAGCAGGTGCCATGGGTTGACCGACAGTTGAGTGGCCGATGCACCACCTGTGCCCCTACTGTGCCAACTTGCTGTGTTTTTAGCCGCCCGGCGCTCCGCTCGTTGTTGTGAGCGTCGCTCCTCCGCCCTCCGTTGTTGCTGGAGGACGACTGCATCCAATCTGCCCAGTAGCCTCAAGGTGCACCTAGCCTGGCACTGCCCAGTAGCAGCGTCCTTCACGAGCCTCTTCTGCAGAGGCCGATCTTGACACCGCTGGTACCGGTCATCGGCAAGTCCACTCAGCTCCACATCCTCCTGTACCACATCACTCCATCTCTGCTCTAGCCCGTGTATACAGCAGCAGGCATCGTCAGGGTCTGGATCGAACCCACGACCTCCTGTGTACCAGGCGAGGTAGTCAACATCTCCTAGCCACTGTGATGATGATGATGATGAGAGAGACACACAGGCTGTATACCAGGCGAGGTAGTCAACATCTCCTAGCCACTGTGATGATGATGATGATGAGAGAGACACAGACTGTAGACCAGGCGAGGTAGTCAACATCTCCTAGCCACCGTGATGATGATGATGATGAGAGAGACACACAGACTGTAGACCAGGCGAGGTAGTCAACATCTCATAGCCACCGTGATGATGATGATGAGAGAGAGACACACAGACTGTAGACCAGGCGAGGTAGTCAACATCTCCTAGCCACCGTGATGATGATGATGATGAGAGAGAGACACACAGACTGTAGACCAGGCGAGGAAGTCAACATCTCCTAGCCACCGTGATGATGATGATAAGAGAGATACACAGACTGTAGACCAGGCGAGGTAGTCAACATCTCCTAGCCACCGTGATGATGATGATGAGAGAGACACACAGACTGTATACCAGGCGAGGTAGTTAACATCTCCTAGCCACCGTGATGATGATGATGAGAGACACACACAGACTGTAGACCAGGCGAGGTAGTCAACATCTCCTAGCCACCGTGATGATGATGATGATGAGAGAGACACACAGACTGTAGACCAGGCGAGGTAGTCAACATCTCCTAGCCACCGTGATGATGATGATGATGAGAGAGACACACAGACTGTAGACCAGGCGAGGTAGTCAACATCTCCTAGCCACCGTGATGATGATGATGATGAGAGAGACACAGACTGTAGACCAGGCGAGGTAGTCAACATCTCCTAGCCACCGTGATGATGATGATGAGAGAGACACACAGACTGTGTACCAGGCGAGGTAGTCAACATCTCCTAGCCACCGTGATGATGATGATGATGAGAGAGACACACAGACTGTAGACCGGGCGAGGTAGTCAACATCTCCTAGCCACCGTGATGATGATGATGATGAGAGAGACACACAGACTGTAGACCAGGCGAGGTAGTCAACATCTCCTAGCCACCGTGATGATGATGATGATGAGAGAGCCACACAGACTGTAGACCGGGCGAGGTAGTCAACATCTCCTAGCCACCGTGATGATGATGATGATGAGAGAGACACACAGACTGTGTACCAGGCGAGGTAGTCAACATCTCCTAGCCACCGTGATGATGATGATGATGAGAGAGACACACAGACTGTAGACCAGGCGAGGTAGTCAACATCTCCTAGCCACCGTGATGATGATGATGATGAGAGAGACACAGACTCCACATCTACAGCAGCAGCAGCAGCAATGAACCACGCGCCACTCCGACATTTGATGAATCGAGTTTTTAATTTCCACGCTCGTCACAAAGAATGAAGACGGCCACGTTGATGCACGCAACTCGGTCGCGCGCAATCGAGTTGCTCGTCGGTTGCTCGTCGGTTGCACGCAATTTGCTCGCTCGCAACCCGCCCGCAACCCGCCCGCAACTCACTCCGCGCGGACGGACGGACGGACGGACATGCTCGAGGTTGCACGCAACTCGTGTCGCCCTGCAACGCATGTCGCACGCAACTCGGGTTGCGCGCGCGGGCAACGGATTTCGTTAGCGAGCAACTCGCGTGAGCCGGTTGCGCGAGTTGCGCGAGTTGCACGAGTTGCGCGAGTTGCGCGAGTTGCACGAGTTGCACGAGTTGCGTGGCGCACAGCGGCAACACGAGGAGGCGCGTGTGGGTTGAGTGCAACCTCATAGAGGGCGGCACGGATAGATGCAATCGCACTGACAGGTACACACATACAGGTATACACACACACACAGGTACACACAGGTACACACACACACACAGGTACACACACACACACAGGTACACTCAGACAGGTACACACACACACAGGTACACACAGGTACACACACAGGTACACACTCACAGGTACACACACACACACAGGTACACACATACAGGTACACACACACACACAGGTACACACACACACACGTACACACACAGGTACACACACACACACAGGTACACACAGACAGGTACACACACAGATATACACACACAGGTACACACACACACAGGTACACAGACACACACACAGATATACACACACAGGTACACACACACACAGGTACACAGACACACACACAGATACACACACACACAGGTACACACATACAGGTACATACACACACAGGTACACACATACAGGTACATACACACACAGACACACAGATACACACACGTACAGGTACACACACACACACAGGTACACACATACAGGTACACACACACACAGGTAGACACACACACAGGTAGACACACACAGGTACACACACGTACAGACACACAGATACACACACGTACAGGTACACACACACACACAGGTACACACATACAGGTACACACACACACAGGTACACACACACAGGTACACACACACACAGACACACAGATACACACACGTACAGGTACACACACACACACAGGTACACACATACAGGTACACACACACACAGGTACACACACACAGGTACACACACAGACACACAGGTACACAGGTACACACACAGGTACACACACACACACAGGTACACACACAGGTACACACACACACAGGTACACACACAGGTACACACACAGGTACACACAGACACAGGTACACACACACACACAGGTACACTCACACACACAGACAGGTACACACACAGATATACACACACAGGTACACACACACACAGGTACACAGACACACACACAGATACACACACACAGACACACAGCACCAGGTACACACATACACACACAGGTACACACACACAGGTACACACACACACAGACAGATACACACATACAGACACAGATACACACACAGGTACAGGTACACACAAACACAGATACACACACACACAGATACACACACACACAAAGGTACACAGATACACACACACACAGGTACACAGACAAACACACACAGATACACAGATACACACACAGGTACACACACACACATGTACACACACACACACAGATACACACACACACAAAGACAATGATCCCCTGTGTAGCCTTAACAGACTGTCGGGGCAAGTGCTGTTAGCGAGCACCTATGAAGGCCGGCACGGCACACGAGGGGGTGGGTGGCCAGCACCACGCCCGGCCGCCTTTGTCTCCCCAGTGGCGATGTTTACTACACACAGCACCAGGTACTCATTTGAGGTGGGAATCGAACCCAGGTCGCCGGGTTCGTAGCACAGCGTCGCGCTAACCGCTGCGCCACCACTCCCCACCACCACCAACCCACAGGGATACATAGAGACACACAGAGACCCATAGAGATTCATAGAGATAAATAGAGATCCAGAGACACACACAGATCCATAGAGACACACAGAGACCCATAGAGACCCATAGAGATTCATAGAGACCCGTAGAGATCCGTAGAGACCCAGAGACACAGAAACACAGAGACACATAGAGACCCATAGAGATTCATAGAGATTCATAGAGACCCGTAGAGACCCGTAGAGACCCATAGAGACACAGAGACACATAGAGATACATAGAGACCCATAGAGATACATAGAGTCACAGAAATACATAGAGACACATAAAGACCCACAGAGACACATAGAGATCCACAGAGACCCATCGAGGCTCATCGAGACCCATAGAGATACATAGAGACCCATAGAGACACACAGAGACACACAGAGATGCATAGAGACCCATAGAGACCCATAGAGACCCATAGAGATACATAGAGACCCATAGAGATACATAGAGACCCATAGAGACACATAGAGACACATAGAAATCAGTATATCTATAGAGACCCATAGAGACCCATAGAGACCCACAGATACACAGAGATCCATAGAGACACAGAGATCCATAGAGACACATAGAGACACACAGAGACACACAGAGACACACAGAGATCCATAGAGATCCATAGAGACACATAGAGATACATAGAGATCAATATATCCATAGAGCCCCATAGAGACCCACAGATACACACAGATATCCATAGAGACACAGAGATCCATAGAGATTCATAGAGACACACATAGATCCATAGACACACAGAGACACATAGAAATCAGTATATCTATAGAGACCCATAGAGATACATAGAGACCCATAGAGATCCAGAGACCCACACAGAGATCCATAGAGACCCACAGAGACCCACAGAGATCCATAGAGACACACAGAGATCAACAGAGACACAGAGACACACAGAGACCCACAGAGACACACAGACACACATAGAGACACATAGAAATCAGTATATCTATAGAGACCCATAGACTAGACTAAAATTAGACAATTATTTTTTATCTGACCAGGTAAGGCCTCACTGTGTCACGTGGCTCTTTGTCAGAAGCGGACTGGACCATCGCAAATGATCGCAGCTGATACCATCACCATCATCACCATCATCATCAATCATCATCATCATCATCACGTGATACCATCATCACCATCAATCATCATCATCATCACCATCATCATCACCATCAATCATCATCATCACGTGATACCATCATCATCATCACTTGGAAATGTGTAGCAGCAGCAGTAGCCCAACAATCTGAACGCGTGGCTATGTCGATTCTAAATGTGGAGGGGAAAACCCGGAGGAGTGAGTGAGTGGCTGAGTGAGTGGCTGAGTGAGTGAGTGAGTGGCTGAGTGAGTGGCTGAGTGAGTGGCTGAGCGAGTGGCTGAGCGGGTGGCAGAGTGAGTGAGTGAGTGGCTGAGCGAGTGAGTGGCTGAGTGAGTGAGTGAGTGGCTGAGTGAGTGGCTGAGTGAGTGAGTGAGTGGCTGAGTGAGTGGCAAAGTGAGTGAGTGAGTGGCTGAGTGAGTGAGTGGCTGAGTGAGTGGCAAAGTGAGTGAGTGAGTGGCTGAGCAAGCGAGTGGCTGAGTGAGTGAGTGGCTGAGTGAGTGAGTGGCTGAGTGAGTGGCTGAGCGAGTGAGTGGCAGAGTGACTGAGTGAGTGAGTGACTGAGTGAGTGAGTGGCTGAGTGAGTGAGTGGCTGAGTGAGTGAGTGGCTGAGTGAGTGGCTGAGTGAGTGAGTGGCTGAGTGAGTGGCTGAGTGAGTGGCTGAGCGAGCGAGTGGCTGAGTGAGTGGATGAGTGAGTGAGTGAGTGGCTGAGCGAGTGGCTGAGTGAGTGGATGAGTGTGTGGCTGAGTGAGTGAGTGAGTGGCTGAGTGAGTGGCTGAGTGAATGAGTGAGTGGCTGAGTGAGTGGCTGAGCGAGCGAGTGGCTGAGTGAGTGGATGAGTGAGTGGCCGAGTGAGTGAGTGAGTGGCTGAGTTAGTGAATGGCTAAGCGAGTGGCTGAGTGAGTGGCTGAGCGAGTGAGTGGCTGAGCGAGTGAGTGGCTGAGTGAGTGGCTGAGCGAGCGAGTGGCTGAGTGAGTGAGTGGCTGAGTGAGTGAGTGGCTGAGTGAGTGGCTGAGTGAGCGAGCGAGTGGCTGAGTGAGTGAGCGAGCGGCTGAGTGAGTGGCTGAGTGAGTGAGTGAGTGGCTGAGTGAGTGGATGAGTGAGTGGCTGAGTGAGCGAGTGGCTGAGTGGCTGAGTGAGTGAGTGGCTGAGTGAGTGAGTGACTGAGTGAGTGGCTGAGTGAGTGGCTGAGCGAGCGAGTGGCTGAGTGAGTGGATGAGTGAGTGAGTGAGTGGCTGAGCGAGTGGCTGAGTGAGTGGATGAGTGTGTGGCTGAGTGAGTGAGTGAGTGGCTGAGTGAGTGGCTGAGTGAATGAGTGAGTGGCTGAGTGAGTGGCTGAGCGAGCGAGTGGCTGAGTGAGTGGATGAGTGAGTGGCTGAGCGAGTGAGTGAGTGAGTGGCTGAGTTAGTGAATGGCTAAGCGAGTGGCTGAGTGAGTGGCTGAGCGAGTGAGTGGCTGAGCGAGTGAGTGGCTGAGTGAGTGAGTGGCTGAGTGAGTGAGTGGCTGAGTGAGTGGCTGAGTGAGTGGCTGAGTGAGTGGCTGAGCGAGCGAGTGGCTGAGTGAGTGAGTGGCTGAGTGAGTGAGTGGCTGAGTGAGTGGCTGAGTGAGCGAGCGAGTGGCTGAGTGAGTGAGCGAGCGGCTGAGTGAGTGGCTGAGTGAGTGAGTGGCTGAGTGAGTGGATGAGTGAGTGGCTGAGTGAGTGAGTGAGTGGCTGAGTGGCTGAGTGAGTGAGTGGCTGAGTGAGTGAGTGACTGAGTGAGTGGCTGAGTGAGTGGCTGAGCGAGCGAGTGGCTGAGTGAGTGGATGAGTGAGTGGCTGAGTGAGTGAGTGGCTGAGTGGCTGAGTGAGTGAGTGGCTGAGTGAGTGAGTGGCTGAGTGAGTGAGTGGCTGAGTGAGTGAGTGGCTGAGTGAGTGAGTGGCTGAGTGAGTGGCTGAGTGAGTGAGTGGCTGAGTGAGTGGCTGAGTGAGTGGCTGAGCAAGCGGCTGAGTGAGTGGCTGAGTGGCTGAGTGAGTGGCTGAGTGGCTGAGTGAGTGGCTGAGTGAGTGAGTGGCTGAGTGAGTGAGTGGCTGAGTGAGTGGCTGAGTGAGTGGCTGAGTGAGTGGCTGAGTGAGTGGCTGAGTGAAAGAGAGTGGCTGAGTGGCTGAGTGAGCGAGTGAGTGGCTGAGCGAGTGGCTGAGTGAAAGAGAGTGGCTGAGTGAGTGGCTGAGTGAGTGAGTGGCTGAGTGAGTGGCTGAGTGAGTGAGTGGCAGAGTGAGTGAGTGAGTGGCTGAACGAGTGGCTGAGTGAGTGAGTGGCTGAGTGAGTGAGTGAGTGGCTGAGTGAGTGAGTGAGTGGCTGAGTGAGTGAGTGGCTGAGTGAGTGAGTGGCTGAGTGAGTGGCTGAGTGAGTGAGTGGCTGAGTGAGTGAGTGGCTGAGTGAGTGGCTGAGCGAGTGAGTGGCAGAGTGAGTGGCTAAGTGAGTGGCTGAGTGAGTGGCTGAGTGAGTGAGTGGCTGAGTGAGTGAGTGGCTGAGTGAGTGAGTGAGTGACTGAGTGAGTGAGTGGCTGAGTTAGTGAATGGCTAAGCGAGTGGCTGAGTGAGTGGCTGAGCGAGTGAGTGGCTGAGCGAGTGAGTGGCTGAGTGAGTGAGTGGCTGAGTGAGTGGCTGAGTGAGCGAGCGAGTGGCTGAGTGAGTGAGCGAGCGGCTGAGTGAGTGAGTGGCTGAGTGAGTGAGTGGCTGAGTGAGTGGCTGAGTGAGTGAGTGGCTGAGTGAGTGAGTGGCTGAGTGAGTGAGTGAGTGGCTGAGTGAGTGAGTGGCTGAGTGAGTGAGCGAGCGGCTGAGTGAGTGAGTGAGCGGCTGAGTGAGTGAGTGGCAGAATGAGTGGCTGAGTGAGTGAGTGGCTGAGTGAGTGAGTGGCTGAGTGAGTGAGTGGCTGAGTGAGTGAGCGAGCGGCTGAGTGAGTGAGTGAGTGGCTGAGTGAGTGAGTGGCAGAATGAGTGGCTGAGTGAGCGAGTGGCTGAGTGAGTGAGTGGCTGAGTGAGTGAGTGGCTGAGCGAGTGGCTGAGCGAGCGAGTGGCTGAGTGAGTGAGTGGCTGAGTGAGTGAGTGACTGAGCGAGCGAGTGGCTGAGCGAGCGAGCGAGCGAGTGGCCGAGCGGTGGACTCAATAGGTGGACTTGTCGAGGGGGTGGAGGTTGAACTCGGAGGTGTCGAGGGTTTGTCGCAGGTACCCGGCGGTGCCCAGCAGCAGGCGGCCCGACACCTGCAGCAGGTGGGCGACCACACGCAGCAGCTCCCTGCAGCAGTAGCAGCAGCAGTAGCAGCAGCAGCAGTAGCAGTAGTAGCAGCAGCAGTAGCAGCAGCAGTAGCAGCAGCAGTGGCAGTAGTAGCAGCAGCAGTAGCAGTAGTAGCAGCAGCAGTAGCAGCAGTAGCAGCAGTAGTAGTAGCAGTAGCAGTAGCGGCAGTAGTAGTAGCAGTAGCAGCAGCAGTAGCAGCAGTAGCAGCAGTAGTAGTAGCAGTAGCAGCAGCAGTAGCGGCAGCAGCAGTAGCAGTAGCAGCAGTAGTAGTAGGAGTAGCAGCAGTAGTAGTAGCAGTAGCAGCAGCAGTAGCAGCAGTAGCAGCAGTAGTAGTAGCAGTAGCAGCAGCAGTAGTGGCAGCAGCAGTAGCAGTAGCAGCAGCAGTAGCAGCAGTAGTAGTAGCAGTAGTAGTAGCAGTAGCAGCAGTAGTAGTAGCAGTAGCAGCAGCAGTAGCAGCAGTAGTAGTAGCAGTAGCAGCAGCAGTAGCGGCAGCAGCAGCAGCAGTAGCAGCAGCAGCAGTAGTAGCAGCAGTAGCAGCAACAGCAGCAGCAGTAGCGGCAGCAGCAGCGGCAGCAGCAGCAGCAACAGCAGCAGCAGTAGCAGTAGCGGCAGCAGCAGTAGCAGCAGCAACAGCAGCAGCAGTAGCGGCAGCAGCAGTAGCAGCAGTAGTAGCAGCAGTAGCAGCAGCAGCAGTAGCAGCAGCAACAGCAGCAGCAGTAGCGGCAGCAGCAGTAGCAGCAGTAGTAGCAGCAGTAGCGGCAGCAGCAGTAGCAGCAGCAACAGCAGCAGCAGTAGCGGCAGCAGCAGTAGCAGCAGTAGCAGCAGCAGTAGCAGCAGCAGCAGTAGCAGCGGCAGCAGCAGCAGTAGCAGCAGCAGCAGCAGGAGACACGGAGCGGTTTTACCGAATGACCTCACTCACTCTCTCACACACACGGACACTCAGCGGATCACGCGGAGAACTGCTGACTCGCTCACTCACTCCTCCGATCACTCGCTCGCTCACCTGATCACTCGCTCACTCACTCCTCCAATCACTCGCTCGCTCACCTGATCACTCGCTCACTCACTCCTCCGATCACTCGCTCGCTCACTCGCTCACTCACTCACTCCTTTGATCATTCGCTCGCTCACTCACCTGATCACTCGCTCGCTCACCTGATCACTCGCTCACTCACTCGCTCATCCGATCACTTGCTCGCTCCGATCACTCGCTCACTTACTTCGATCACTCGCTCACTCGCTCACTCGCCCGCTCACCCGCCCGCTCACCCACCCGCTCACCCGCCCACCCACTCACCCGCTCGCTCACCCGCCCGCTCACCCGCCCACTCACCCACCCGCTCACCCGCCCTCCCGCCTGCCAACTCACGTGATGATGCGCTTGGCTCCCAGGCACTTGAAGTCCAGGGTCATGGAGTACATGCCGTAGAAGGTCGCCTTGACGTTGAGGCAGCCGATCAGGTCGCGCGGGCTCATCTTGTAGAGGTCAAGGGTTATGCGAGCAATGTCGTGACCTTTCTTGGGTCGCCCCGTGCCCAGCACCAGCGTGGAGTGACCCTGTGGGGGGGGGGGGGGTTCATAATATCCGTGTCAGACACCGTGCAAGCGCTGGCTCGGCTCGGATGTGACAGTGGAAAAACACCACCCGTACGGTGCTGGCTTGGCACGGATGTGGGCAGTGGAAAAACACCACCCGTACCGCGCTGGCTTGGCACGGATGTGGCAGTGGAAAAACACCACTCGTACCGTGCTGGCTTGGCACGGATGTGGCAGTGGAAAAACAACACCCGTACCGTGCTGGCTTGGCACGGATGTGGCAGTGGAAAAACACCACCTGTACCGTGCTGGCTTGGCTCGGATGTGGCAGTGGAAAAACACCACCCCTACCGTGCTGGCTTGGCACGGATGTGGCAGTGGAAAAACACCACCAGTACCGTGCTGGCTTGGCTCGGATGTGGCAGTGGAAAAACACCACCCCTACCGTGCTGACTTGGCACGGATGTGGCAGTGAAAAAACACCACCAGTACCGTGCCATGACTTGGCACGGATGTGGCAGTGGAAAAACACCACCCGTGCCGTGCTGGCTTGGAACGGATGTGGCAGTGGAAAAACACCACCCGTACTGCGCTGGCTGGGCACGGATGTGGCAGTGGAAAAACACCACCTGTACCATGCTGGCTTGGCACGGATGTGGGCAGTGGAAAAACACCACCTGTACCATGCTGGCTTGGCACGGATGTGGGCAGTGGAAAAACACCACCTGTACCATGCTGGCTTGGCACGGATGTGGCAGTGGAAAAACACCACCCATACCGTGCTGGTACGGCTCGGATGTGGGCAGTGGAAAAACACCACCCGTACCGTGCTGTCTTGGCACGGATGTGGTAGTGGAAAAACACGATCCCGACCCTGACCCCTGCTGCATATTTGGAGTCGGCGTCTCTCTCCTCTCTCATCATCTCGGTGGACTAGGAGATGTTGACTACCTCGCCTGGTCTACAGTCTATGTCTCTCTCATCATCATCATCATCACGGTGGCTAGGAGATGTTGACTACCTCGCCTGGTCTACAGTCTGGGTCTCTCTCTTATCATCATCACGGTGGGCTAGAAGACGTTAACTACCTCGCCTGGTCTACAGTCTGTGTGTCTCTCTCTCTCTCTTATCATCACGGTGGCTAGGAGATGTTGACTACCTCGCCTGGTCTACAGTCTGTGTCTCTCTCTCTCATCATCATCATCACGGTGGCTAGGAGATGTTGACTACCTCGCCTGGTCTACAGTATGTGTGTCTCTCTCTCTCTTTTCATCATCACGGTGGCTAGGAGATGTTGACTACCTCGCCGGGTCTACAATCTGTGTGTCTCTCTCATCATCACGGTGGCTAAGAGATGTTGACTACCTCGCCTGGTCTACAGTCTGTTTGTCTCTCTCTCTCTCATCATCATCATAACGGTGGCTAGGAGATGTTGACTACCTCGCCTGGTCTACAGTCTGTGTGTCTCTCTCAACATCATCATCATCAAGGTGGTTAGGAGATGTTGACTACCTCGCCTGGTCTACAGTCTGTGTCTCTCTCTCATCATCATCACGGTGGCTAGGAGATGTTGACTACCTCGCCTGGTCTACAGTCTGTGTGTCTCTCTCTCTCATCATCATCATCACGGTGGCTAGGAGATGTTGACTACCTCGCCTGGTCTACAGTCTGTGTGTCTCTCTCTATCTTATCATCATCACGGTGGCTAGGAGATGTTGACTACCTCGCCTGGTCTACAGTCTGTGTGTCTCTCTCTCTCATCATCATCACGGTGGCTAGGAGATGTTGACTACCTCGCCTGGTGTACAGGAGGTCGTGGGTTCCATCCCGACCCTGACGACGCCTGCTGCTGCTGCTGTAGATGTGGAGTCTGCGTCTCTCTCCTCTCTCCCCGTGGTGGTCACTGCGTGGATTTGTCTCTGGGTCCACCGGGTTTTCCCCTCCACATTTAGAATCGACATCTACTCTTTCCGATGTAAGTCTATGTGTCTCTACGTAACATATATCTATGAGTCTCTGTGTATCTCTATGTTTCTCCACATATCTCCACATGCCTCCACGTGTCTCCACCCATCACCGCCACCAACATCCTCACGACCCATCACCACCATCACCACCATAACCACCCACCACCATCACCACCACCATCATCACCATCACCACCCACCACCATCACCACCACCATCACCATCATCACCATCACCACCACCATCACCATCATCACCATCATCACCATCACCACCCACCACCATCACCACCACCATCACCATCATCACCATCACCACCCACCACCATCACCACCACCATCACCATCATCACCATCACCACCCACCATCTCCACCCATCTACACTCACCTCTACCCATCACCACCATCTCCACCCATCACCACCATCTCCACCACCACCACCACCACCACCACCACCACCACCAACTCACCCTTGGTGGGCTCCAGGTGTCCCCCTTGGCGAGCACCATGAGGGTGACGTTGTCGTCCAGAGAGTCGAAGAACTCCTCCGTGTCCACCACCGTACCGTCTTCATCCAGCACCACGCTCACCGCGCCCCGGCTCACCGCGCTCACCACGCCGGCACACTTCACCGCGCTCTTCACCGCGCCCGACGCCGGGAGCGGCAGCACGTCCAGTGACTGTAGCAGCAGCGGCGGCAGCAGCAGCAGAAGAAGCATCGTTAGTATTAGTAGCATTAGTAGTAGTATTAGGAGTAGTAGTGTCAGTAGTAGTATAGTGTTAGTAGTAGTGTTAGTAGTATTACTGCTACTACTAATATTGCTACTACTACTGCTGCTTCTACTACTACTTTTGCTACTAATAATACTACTCCTGCTACTGCCACTACTGCTGCTACTGCTACTGCCACTACTGCTGCTACTGCTGCGACTACTACTGCTGCTAATACTGCTACTACCACCACTACACTGCTGCTACTACTACTGCTGCTACTACTACTGCTGCTTCTACTACTACTTCTGCTACTAATAATTCTACTCCTGCTACTGCCACTACCACTACTACTGCTACTACTGCTGCAACTACTACTACTGCTGCTGCAACTACTACAACTGATGCTACTGCTGCAACTACTACAACTATTACTGCTGCTGCTGCTACTGCTGCTGCTGCTACTACCACAACTACTACTGCTGCTGCTGCTACTACCACCACTACTGACTACTGCTGCTATTACTACTACTACCACCACTACTACTACTGCTGCTACTGCTGCAACTACTACTACTGCTGCTGCTGCTACTACTACTACTGCTACTACCACTACTACTACTGCTGCTACTGCTACTACTACTGCTGCTGCTGCTGCTACTACTGCTACTACCACTACTACTGCTGCTACTACTACTACTGCTGCTGCTGCTGCTACTACTGCTACTACTACTGCAACTACTGCTACTACTACTACTGCAACTACTGCTACTACTGCTGCAGCTACAACTACTGCTGCTGCTGCTACTACTGCTACTATCACTACTAATACTACTACTACTGCTGCTACTGCTGCAGCTACTGCTGCTACTACAGCTACTGCTGCTGCTGCTGCTGCTGCAACTGCTACTATCACTACTAATACTACTACTGCAACTACTGCTACTACTGCTGCTACTACAACTACTGCTGCTGCTGCTACTACTGCTACTACCACCACTACTACTACTGCTGCTACTACTACTGCTGTTGCTGCTACTACTACTGCTACTACCACTACTAATACTACTACTACTGCTACTACCACTACTAATACTACTACTACTGTTACTACCACTACTAATACTACTACTACTGCTACTACCACTACTAATACTACTACTACCACTACTACTACTGCTGCTGCAGCTACTACTAATACTACTACTACTGCTACTACCACTTCTAATACTACTACTGCTACTACCACTACTAATACTACTACTACTGCTACTACCACTACTAATACTACTACTACCACTACTACTACTGCTGCTGCAGCTACTACTACTGCAACTACTACTACTACTGTTGCTACTGCTGCTGCAGCTACTGCTGCTGTTACTGCTGCAGCTGCTGCTGCAACTACTACTACTGCTACTACCACTACTAATACCACTACTACTATTACTGCTGCTACTACTACAACTACTGCTGCTGCAGCTACTGCTGCTGTTACTGCTGCAGCTGCTGCTGCTGCAACTACTACTACTGCTACTACCACTACTGCTACTACTACTGCTGCTGCTGCCACTAATACTACTACTGCTGCTACTACTACTACTGCTGCTACTAATACTACTACTGCTGCTGCTGCTACTGCTGCTGCTGTTACTGCTGCAGCTGCTGCTGCTGCTGCTGCTACTACTACTACTGCTGCTACTACTACTGCTGCTACTAGTACTACTGCTACTACCACTACTACTACTACTGCTGCTGCTGCCACTACTAATACTACTACTGCTGCTGCTGCTACTGCTACTACTGCAACTACTACTGCCACTACCACTACTACTGCCACTACTGCAGCTACTGCTGCTGCTCCACTACTGCAGCTACGACTGCTGCTGCTGCTACTGCTGCAGCTACTGCTGCTGCTACTGCTACTACTGCTACTATCACTACTGCTGCTGCTACTGCTGCTACTACCACTACTACTACTGCTACTACTGCTGCTACTACCACTACTAATACTACTACTCCTGCTGCTACTACTGCTGCTGCTACTGCTGCAGCTGCTACTACTGCCACTACTAATACTACTACTACTGCTACAGCTACTACTACCACTACTACTGCTGCTGCTACTACTACTACCACTACTGCTGCTACTGCAGCTACTGCTGCTGCTACTGGATGCCCTCACCTTGTTGAGTAGCTCCTGGAGGCTGGCGGCCATGACGCCCCTGCGGTTGGCACGGCTCGAGCAGCAGACGCGGAACGGTCGCGGCGGTGCCGCCGCGGTGCCGTGCCAAACCCGGCGGGTCAACTCCACCCCGGCCGCCGACACCGACCTAACCACACCACCACCACCACCACAACACCACCATTACAACACCACCAACAACACCACCACAACACCACAACAACCGCAACACCGCAAGTAGTTAGACTGCTCCACCCTGGCCATTAATACAGACCTCACCACGACCACCACCACCACCACAACACCACCATTACAACACCACAACAACAGCACCACCATCACAACAACACCACCACAACACCACAACAACCGCAACACCGCAAGTAGTTAGACTGCTCCACCCTGGCCACTGATACAGACCTCACCACGACCACCACCACCACCACAACAACAACACCTATCACAACACCACAACAACAGCACCACCATCACAACAACACCACCACAACAACACCAGTGGTTAGACTGATCCACCCCACCCGCCGACACCGACCTAACCACCACCACCACAACCATCAACACAACACCACAACAACAACACAACACCATCACAACACCATCACAACACCACCACCACAACACCACCACCACCACAACACCCCACCACAACAACACCACAACCACCACACCACACCACCACCACAACCACCACAACACCACCATCACCATACCACCACAACAACACCATCACACCACCACCATCACACCACCACCACCACAACACCACACCACCACAACCACCACCCCAACCACCACGACACCACCACCACAACACCACCACCACAAGTGGTTAGACTGCTCCACCCCGGCCACCGACACCGACCTAACCAGAACCACCACAACCACCACAACCATCACCACAACCACCACCACCACCACCACCACACCACCACCTGTCTGACCACCACAGCATTTGCCACAATAGCAAATGAATCCGATACACACATTCTGTTGATAGCTTCGCTAATTACTTTATTGGCTGCCAAAGGATTTTCTGTTTGCACTCAGTCACATATTCACTACAAGATGTTTTCTTGTTCATGTTTTAGTTTTTTGTTTGTTGCGGTTGCACCCGATTCAAGAGCTGAATGGCTCACAGGGCTACACCTAATACATGAACTTGAACTTGAAAGATTTACAAACCTGATGTCCCCAATAGGTTACAAAACAAGTGAAGCTACCACATCGGAAGGAGATCTTTGTTCTAGATTTGAAGCTTTGGTGACTGCATGGATTCATATTCTTAGGGTTTTTCGGTAAAGTCACGTAGGTTAAAACATTTTAATGAATAAAAGTAAAATAAAAATAAAATAAAAATCACGACGTTTCGGAGGCAACACAAGCTTCCGTCTTCAGGTGGAACAGTCACAGCTCACGATAGCTGCATCAAGTGAGAGAAATTCCAAGAAACAGTCCTTGTATATATACTGGTTGAGGATGGGAGGAATATTAGTTTTGTGAGGTTCTGTGCGGCTTTAACTTTCATAAATTTTAATGTTTTACCTACGTGACTTTACCGAAAAAAACCAAAGAATATGAGATCTTTGTTCATCCGAAACTGAGAAGATCTTATCAAGAAAATTGAGGATCCATAATGGAGGTTTTTGGGTTTGATCGCGTAAATACTTACTAGTTGATAATTGTTTTTTTACCCTTCTATCTGGCAACAAAACTGACACTTTTTTTTACAAGGAGTCATGTTTGCATAGACCACAATACCTGCAGTCATAATGCAAACAAAAAACACAACTCTGATAATGTATGCATTGTCCTTGAAGTTGATTGGTCCACACCCGAGACAGCTTTCCTTAGAGCCTAGTCTCACATGGTGTTGGACCAGATGACGCCAAAAGGCGCACAACTCAAAGACAATGCACCATCAGAGTATGAGAGTTCGGGGTAAGCATTTACACCATTGGAACCTCATTTGCCAGTAAAAAATATGATAATTGTTTTTTTACCCTTCTATCTGGCAACAAAACTGACATTTTTTTAACAAGGAGTCATGTTTGCATAGACCACAATACCTGCAGCCATAATGCAAACAAAAAACACAACTCTGTGGGTCTCTGTATGATGAGTCCACGGGTCTCTATGCGAGTCTGTGGGTCTCTGTGTGATGAGTCTATGGGTCTCTGTGTGAGTCTATGGGTCTCTGTGTGAGTCTGTGGGTCTCTGTGTGATGAGTCTATGGGTCTCTGTGTGGTGAGTCTGTGGGTCTCTGTGTAATGAGTCTATGGGTCTCTTTGTGATGAGTCTACGGGTCTCTGTGTGAGTCTGTGAGTCTCTGTGTGAGTCTGTGGGTCTCTGTGCGAGTCTATGGGTCTCTGTGCGAGTCTATGGATCTCTGTTTGATGAGTCTATAGGTCTCTGTGTGATGAGTCTGTGGGTGTCTATGTAAGTCGATGGGTCTCTCTGTGTGAGTCTATGGGTCTCTGTGTGGTGAGTCTATGGGTCTCTGTGTGATGAGTCTATGGGTGTCTATGTAAGACGATGGGTCTCTCTGCATGTCTGTGGACTGGATCACCACCATCATAAGCATGGCTGGTAGCAATACCACCATCATCATTATCAGCAACAGCATCAGCAGCAGCATCATCAGCACCATCATCATCATCATCAGCAGCACCATCATCATCAGCACCACCATCATCATCATCACCACCATCATCATCATCAGCACCATCATCATCATCAGCACCATCAGCAGCAGCATCATCAGCAGCCGTCCTCGCTCTGGACTCTGCTCCGTGTTGCCTTCAAACCCACCACGTGGCCACGACCACGACGAACAGCTGATGGACCTTTCACCAAACGCCACCACGCCCACCACCACCACCCCCCTAATTGAGCAATTTCGTAGCGTCAGTGACGCAACCAAGATCAGTAATCAACAAAGACAAAGGTCCCCCGGGTAGCCTGCAAAGGACTGCCGGGGCAAGTGCTGTTAGCGAGTAGCAGCAGCAGCAGCTATGAAGGCTACCGGCACTGTGGGCACACGAGGGGGTGGGTGGCCAGCACCACGCCCGGCCGCCTTTGTCTCCCTAGCGGCGATGTTCACTGCTACTCACGTGAGGCTGAGTCGACCTAGGGGAGGGAGGCTCAGGACCGGTTCAGGGACAATCGAACTCGCGTTTGGCAGGTTCGGAGCGCCCCCCCCCACTCCACACACAACAACAAAGACAAAGACCCCCCGTATAGCCTCTGACAGGCTGTCGGGGCAAGTGTCGTTAGCGAGTAGCAGCAGTGCCTATGATGTCCGGCACGGTGGCTAGGAGATGTTGACTACCTCGCCTGGTCTACAGCCTGTGTGTCTCTCTCATCATCATCATCACGGTGGCTAGGAGATGTTGACTACATCGCCTGGTCTACAGTCTGTGTGTCTCTCTCTCATCATCATCACGGTGGCTATGAGATGTTGACTACCTCGCCTGGTCTACAGTCTGTGTGTCTCTCTCATCATCATCATCATCACGGTGGCTAGGAGATGTTGACTACCTCGCCTGGTCTACAGTCTGTGTGTGTCTCTCTCATCATCATCATCATCACGGTGGCTAGGAGATGTTGACTACCTCGCCTGGTCTACAGTCTGTGTCTCTCTCTCATCATCATCATCACGGTGGCTATGAGATGTTGACTACCTCGCCTGGTACACAGGAGGTCGTGGGTTCGATCACGATTCTGACGACGCCTGCTGCTGTATGTTTGGAGTCTGCAATGTTTACTACACAACACCGCAACAGGTAACTCGGTTTAAATGAAATAGAAACACAAATCTAGTATACTTAGAAATGTAATGTAATACAACAGAGAGTCAGGTAACATAACAGTCAACACCCTACCTATACACCACTACACTACACTATACACTACTACACTACACACTACAATACACTACTACACTACACTATACACTACTACACTACACTATACACTACACTATACACTACTACACTACACTATACACTACTACACTACACACTACAATACACTATACACTACTATACTACACTACACTATACACTACACTATACACTACACTACACACTACTACACTACAATACACTACACACTACTATACTACACTACACTATACACTACTATACACTACACACTACTATACTACACTACACTACACACTACTATACTACACTACACTATACACTACTATACACTACACACTACTACAACAGAGAGTCGGATAACATAACCGTCAACACCCTACCTGGTTGACTACGTTCTTCCTGAGAATGCTACATTTGAGAAAAAGAGATCAAACACAGAACCAGAGACATATAGACAGACATATAAGCAGACAGATATCACAGAGATACATATTTCAACTGGTGCAAACTCTGATGATGATAATGATATGCACTGTCCTTGAAGTTGATTGGTCCACACCCGAGACAGCTTTTCTTAGAGCCTAGTCTCACATGGTGTTGGACCAGATGACGCAAGATTACGCCAAAAGGCATCATCAGAGTTGTTTCTTTTTGTTTGCATTTTGACTGCTTGTGTTGTGGTTATTGCAAACATGATGCCTTGTATAAAGGTGTCAGTGTTTGTACCAGTTGAAAGGGTAACAACCTATCACTAGATTTTGCCACTTGTAAAGGAGATGTCTCATAGTGTAAACATTGTGACGTTGTTGTTTTTTTTTTAAATAGGAGAATCGGTTTTCCCCAGTTGTGTAAAGATGTTAAAACAACGAACTAAAAACCTTTTTTTACAATGAATCACGTAGTGCATTAACCACAACGCTTGTGGTCAGAATGCAAAACAAAAAACAGACTGACAACACATTCCTGCTGCGGAGGGAGCTGGTAGGAACGTCGGGTTGCTCGGTCAATGGCCTGCAGGGTCAACGGCGGCGTGGTGTATTCCGCAAAAATGCCCGACTGTGAGGGCGGGCACAAGCCGGCGTGAGTAGGTTAAACGTTGAGTTTTATAAGGGCACCACGGGGTGACCAGCCCCTCCCCACCCAGCCCCACCCTCCCCACCCTCCCCACCCAGCCCCTCCCCACCCCGCCCCACCCTCCCTACCCAGCCCCTCCCCACCCAGCCCCTCCCCACCCAGCCCCTCCCCACCCAGCCCCTCCCTCCCAACCCAGCCCCACCCTCCCCACCCAGCCCCACCCTCCCCACCCAGCCCCCCCCTCCCCACCCAGCCCCACCCAGCCCCACCCTCCCCACCCAGCCCCACCCTCCCCACCCCACCCCACCCTCCCCACCCAGCCCCTCCCTCCCCACCCAGCCCCACCCTCCCCACCCAGCCCCACCCTCCCCACCCAGCCCCACCCTCCCCACCCAGCCCCACCCTCCCCACCCAGCCCCACCCTCCCCACCCAGCCCCACCCTCCCCACCCAGCCCCACCCTCCCCACCCAGCCCCACCCTCCCTACCCAGCCCCTCCCCACCCTCCCCTTTCCACCCAGCCCCACCCCTCCCATGTTTGGATGCACGACGGACGGACGGACGGACGGACACAATAATCCCCTGTGGGCTGGTGTAACCAGGAGGTTCCTACCAGTATGATGCATTGGCTTTGAAACCGATTGGTCTACACCAGAGACATCTTTCTTTCGTCTCAAAAGGTGTTAGACCAGAGGACACAAAAAGGCTTGAGATGGCTGCCACCTATGGGTCAGATGATTGTCTGGCAGCATTAAACAATTGGTAATTAAATATTTAAAAAAATTTCCCTAAACAGTGTAAAATTTTTGAATTTTTTTTTCACGAACATTAATTGTCAGGCACAACGAGTCTGTGTGCAAAATGTCAGCTCGATTGGATCACGGGAAGTGGGTTAAAAAACGACCGAAAGATTTGCACGGTCGTAAGCAAGCAAGCAAGCACGCAAGCACGCAAGCAAGCAAGCAAGCGAACTTAATATAAAGGATTTAAAAAGGCGCACACAGCTCAAAGACAATTCCACTGTGAGACTAATGAAAACTACATCATGAGACCTTCTTTGCCAGCGTCAAAATATTTCGAGAACGTTTTGGTCTGAGCCATGTTTGTCCGTTGTAGTACAGAGTTGGCCTGATAACTTTAATCTAAATAGTCTTACGGTTAAATTTCGATTGAAAGCTTTCTCGTGACTGCAGCAGGGATTCATCTTCTTGGCTCTTTCGGTAAAGTCACGTAGAAGGGAAATAATAAAATAATAAAAATTCAACTTCATAAAATAATACAATTCTCACGACGTTTCGGCCACAACGCAAGCAGCCGTCCTCAGGTGAAGAACAGGTCTGTCGGAAAGACAGCGTCTGAATGAGCACCACTGAGCTTGGCAGCGTATTTTGCGTTGTGGCCGAAACGTCGTGAGAATTGTATTTAATGTTTTATTTTTATTATTTTATTATTTCCCTTCTACGTGATGACTTTATCGAAAGAACCAAGAAGATGTCTTACGGTTGTTATTAATTGACTTGCATCCCACTGGGATTTTCGCACGCAGCTTTGGAATGCGGTGGCTTTCTACCTGGAAGACTTTGATGTCACTTGAAGATGTTTTCTTGTTCATGTTTTTGTTGCGGTTGCACCCGATTCAAGAGCCACATGGCTCACAGGGCTACACCAGAGGTCGTAACCGGGTACCCGATACCCGTACCCTACCCGATACCCAGCTACCCGTACCCGGCCGGGTACGGGTACCCGTTTGCGACCCTGGTGCGGCCGGGTACGGGTAGGCCGTGAGTCACTGGTGAGTCACCGTTTGTCACTCATTTCCCAACGTCTTGTCTCTTCTCACAATTCCAGTCCCTAGAATCAACCCACCCGCGCCTGCAACATGGCTTCATCCCAGAGGTCGCAATCGGGTACCCGATACCCGTACCCTACCTGTACCCGGCCGGGTACGGGTAGGGTACGGGTACGGCCGGGTACGGTTACCCGTTTGCGACCCTGGTGCGGCCGGGTACGGGTAAGAAATCAAAACCCGTTTGCGACCTCTGGGCTACAGCTAATAAATGAAAACTGATTGAACTTAATTTAACATCACGGCTCGATCATTTAGCGTGGAGGCAGTTAATGATTGACGGCTGAGTCCTGCCAGCAAGAGAGATTTCTCAACGCCGACTTGACTCACAAACATCGGGCTGTCATCTGTGTCAAGGGGCAATGGCACTCAATTCAAACTGTGGGTCTCTGTGTGAGTCTGTGGGTCTCTCTGTGGGTCTCTGTGTAAGTCTGTGGGTCTCTCTGTGTGTCTGTGGGTCTCTCTGTGGGTCTCTGTGTAAGTCTGTGGGTCTCTGTGTAAGTCTATGGGTCTCTCTGTGGGTCTCTGTGTAAGTCTGTGGGTATCTGTGTAAGTCTGTGGGTCTCTCTGTGGGTTTCTGTGTAAGTCTGTGGGTATCTGTGTAAGTCTGTGGGTCTCTCTGTGGGTCTCTGTGTAAGTCTGTGGGTCTCTGTGTAAGTCTATGGGTCTCTCTGTGGGTCTCTGTGTAAGTCTGTGGGTATCTGTGTAAGTCTGTGGGTCTCTCTGTGGGTCTCTGTGTAAGTCTGTGGGTATCTGTGTAAGTCTGTGGGTCTCTCTGTGGGTCTCTGTGTAAGTCTGTGGGTATCTGTGTAAGTATATGGGTCTCTGTGTAAGTCTGTGGGTCTCTGTGTAAGTCTATGGGTCTCTCTGTGGGTCTCTGTGTAAGTCTATGGGTCTCTATGTAAGTCTGTGGGTCTCCCTGTGTAAGTCTATGGGTCTGTGTGAGTCTGTGGGTCTCTCTGTGTGTCTCTGGGTTTCTGTGTAAGTCTATGGGTCTCTCTGTGTGTCTGTGGGTCTCTCTGCGTGTCTGTGGGTCTCTGTGTAAGTCTGTGGGTCTCTGTGTAAGTCTGTGGGTCTCTGTGTAAGTATATGGTTCTCTGTGTAAGTCTGTGGGTCTCTGTGTAAGTCTATGGGTCTCTGTGTGAGTCTGTGGGTCTCTGTGTAAGTCTATAGGTCTCTGTGTAAGTCTGTGGGTCTCTGTGTATGTCTATCGGTCTCTATGTAAGTATGTGGGTCTCTGCGTAAGTCTGTGGGTCTCTATGTATGTGGGTCTCTGTGTGAGTCTGTGGGTCTCTCTGTGTGTCTCTGGGTCTCTGTGTGAGTCTGTGGGTCTCTCTGTGTGTCTGTGGGTCTCTGTCTAAGTCTGTGGGTCTCTCTGTGGGTCTCTGAGTCTACGGGTCTCTGTGTGAGTCTACGGGTCTGTGTGATGAGTCTATGGGTCTCTGTATGAGTCTATGGGTCTCTGTGTGGTGAGTCTATGGGTCTCTGTTATTGTAGTTAACCAAACCGCCAAACTCCACTTTAAAAGGACGCAAAATTGACGACCCTTTAAACGCAATTCTTTGTTTTACCGCTTTCACGACGCCTCGAACACAAACACAAACCTGCCGGCATCACGACGCCAGCACGCGAACCTACCGGCTTCACGGCGCTTTAAACTCACCTGAGCAGTGCCTTGGGTGACAGCGAAGAATCCATGGAGGTGGTGGTTGTGGTTATTGTTGGTGGTGATGGTTGTTGTTGTTGGTGGTGGTGGTCGAGAGAGAGACACAGAGAGAGAGAGAGAGTCCGTTCCGGGTACAAGTCGGGTTGGTAGTGGAGGGAAGGAGGGAGACGGTCTACCCACTAACAAACAACAACAACACAACAACAACAATAACACAACAACACCACCAACATTAATCAAGAGTCTCGCTCTCTCGCTCCGCGTGTGCCGAGTTTTTGATGTTTTCTGCCCGTGGGTCGAGCAGCTTGTACCTGGGGGAGGGCTCTGGGGGAGGGCTCTGGGGGAGGGCTCTGGGGGGAGGGCTCTGGGGGAGGGCTCTGGGGGGAGGGCTCTGGGGGGAGGGCTCTGGGGGAGGGCTCTGGGGGAGGGCTCTGGGGGAGGGCTCTGGGGGAGGGCTCTGGGGGGGGCTCTGGGGGGGGGGCTCTGGGGGGGGGGCTCTGGGGAGGGCTCTGGGGGAGGGCTCTGGGGGGAGGGCTCTGGGGGGGGGCTCTGGGGGGGGGGCTCTGGGGGGGGGGCTCTGGGGGGGCTCTGGGGGGCTCTGGGGAGGGCTCTGGGGAGGGCTCTGGGGGAGGGCTCTGGGGGAGGGCTCTGGGGGGAGGGCTCTGGGGGAGGGCTCTGGGGGAGGGCTCTGGGGGAGGGCTCTGGGGGAGGGCTCTGGGGGAGGGCTCTGGGGAGGGCTCTGGGGGAGGGCTCTGGGGGAGGGCTCTGGGGGAGGGCTCTGGGGGAGGGCTCTGGGGGAGGGCTCTGGGGGAGGGCTCTGGGGGAGGGCTCTGGGGGAGGGCTCTGGGGGAGGGCTCTGGGGGAGGGCTCTGGGGGAGGGCTCTGGGGGAGGGCTCTGGGGGAGGGCTCTGGGGGAGGGCTCTGGGGGGAGGGCTCTGGGGGAGGGCTCTGGGGGAGGGCTCTGGGGGAGGGCTCTGGGGGAGGGCTCTGGGGGAGGGCTCTGGGGGAGGGCTCTGGGGGAGGGCTCTGGGGGGGGCTCTGGGGGGGGGCTCTGGGGGGGGCTCTGGGGGGGGGCTCTGGGGGGGGGCTCTGGGGGGGGGCTCTGGGGGGGGGCTCTGGGGGGGGGCTCTGGGGGGGGCTCTGGGGGGGGGCTCTGGGGGGGGGCTATGGGGGGGGGCTCTGGGGGGGGGCTCTGGGGGGGGGCTCTGGGGGGGGGCCTATGGGGGGGGGCTCTGGGGGGGCTCTGGGGGGGGCTCTGGGGGGGGGCTCTGGGGGGGGGCTCTGGGGGGGGGCTCTGGGGGGGGGCTCTGGGGGGGGGCTCTGGGGGGGGGCTCTGGGGGGGGGCTCTGGGGGGGGGCTCTGGGGGGGGGCTCTGGGGGGGGGCTCTGGGGGGGGGCTCTGGGGGGGGGCTCTGGGGGGGGGCTCTGGGGGGGGGCTCTGGGGGGGGCTCTGGGGGGGGCTCTGGGGGGGGGCTCTGGGGGGGGGCTCTGGGGGGGGGCTCTGGGGGGGGGCTCTGGGGGGGGGCTCTGGGGGGGGGCTCTGGGGGGGGGCTCTGGGGGGGGGCTCTGGGGGGGGGCCTCTGGGGGGGGGCTCTGGGGGGGGGCTCTGGGGGGGGGCTCTGGGGGGGGGCTCTGGGGGGGGCTCTGGGGGGGGGCTCTGGGGGGGGGCTCTGGGGGGGGGCTCTGGGGGGGGGCTCTGGGGGGGGGCTCTGGGGGGGGGCTCTGGGGGGGGGCTCTGGGGGGGGCTCTGGGGGGGGGCTCTGGGGGGGGGCTCTGGGGGGGGGCTCTGGGGGGGGGCTCTGGGGGGGGGCTCTGGGGGGGGGCTCTGGCTGTGGGGGGGGCTCTGGGGGGGGGCTCTGGGGGGGGGCTCTGGGGGGGCTCTGGGGGGGGGCTCTGGGGGGGGGGGGCTCTGGGGAGGGCTCTGGGGGAGGGCTCGGGGGGGAGGGCTTGGGGAGGGCTCTGGGGGGAGGGCTCTGGGGGCCGGCTCTGGGGGGGGGGGCTCTGGGGGGGGCTCTGGGGGAGGGCTCTGGGGGGGGGGCTCTGGGGGGGGGGCTCTGGGGGGGGGGCTCTGGGGGGGGGGCTCTGGGGGGGGGGCTCTGGGGGGGGGGCTCTGGGGGGGGGGATCTGGGGGAGGGCTCTGGGGGGGGGATCTGGGGGGGGGGGCTCTGGGGGGGGGGCTCTGGGGGGGGGGGCTCTGGGGGGGGGGGCTACTGGGGGGGGGGATCTGGGGGGGGGGCTCTGGGGGGGGGGCTCTGGGGGGGGGCTCTGGGGGGGGGCTCTGGGGGGGGGGCTCTGGGGGGGGGCTCTGGGGGGGGGGCTCTGGGGGGGGGGCTATGGGGGGGGGCTCTGGGGGGGGGCTATGGGGGGGGGCTCTGGGGGGGGGGCTCTGGGTGGGGGGCTCTGGGGGGGGGCTCTGGGGGGGGGGCTCTGGGGGGGGGGCTCTGGGGGGGGGGCTCTGGGGGGGGGGCTCTGGGGGGGGGGCTCTGGGGGGGGGGCTCTGGGGGGGGGCTCTGGGGGGGGGCTCTGGGGGGGGGGCTCTGGGGGGGGGCTATGGGGGGCGGGGCTCTGGGGGGGGGGCTCTGGGGGGGGGCTCTGGGGGGGGGATCGGGGGGGGGGCTCTGGGGGGGGGGGCTCTGGGGGGGGGGGGCTCTGGGGGGGGGGGCTCTGGGGGGGGGGGGGCTCTGGGGGGGGGGGGGCTCTGGGGGGGGGGGCTCTGGGGGGGGGGCTCTGGGGGGGGGCTCTGGGGGGGGGGCTCTGGGGGGGGGGCTCTGGGGGGGGGCTCTGGGGGGGGGGCTCTGGGGGGGGGCTCTGGGGGGGGGGGCTCTGGGGGGGGGGCTCTGGGGGAGGGCTCTGGGGGAGGGGTGGAGAGAGGGGGAGGAGGAGTGAGGGTGGAGTGGGGGTGGAGGGGGGGTGGAGGGAGGAGGAGTGAGGGTGGAGGGGGGTGGGGCGGGTTGAGGGGGGTGGGAGTGAGGTGGGTGGGTGGGTGGGGGCGGGTGGAGGGGGGTGGGAGGTGGGGGGAGGTGGGGGGAGGGTGGAGGGAGGAGTGAGGGGGGTGGGAGGTGGGGGGAGGGGGGAGGGTGGAGGGAGGTGGGATGGTGGAGGAGTGAGGGTGGAGGGTTGAGGTGGAGGGGGGTGGAAGGTGGGGGAGGGTGGAGTGAGGGTGGAGGGTTGAGGTGGAGGGGGGTGGGGGGCGGGTGGAGGGAGGAGGAGTGAGGGTGGAGGTGGGTGGGGCGGGTTGAGGGGGATGGGAGTGAGGGGGGTGGGTGGGTGGAGGGGGGTGGGGAGGTGGGGGGAGGGGGGTGGGTGGAGGTGGGGGGAGGGTGGAGGGGGCTGGGAGGGTGGTTCTTTCGGTAAAGTGACGTCGGTATAAAGTATAAAATAAAATAAGTCACGACGTTTCGGGCGCAACACAAGCGTCCGTCATCAGGTGGGAAAGCATGGTCTGCTGCTGATGAGGCAGACTGTTAAAAGGTTTGAAATGGGTGTCGCTCAGGGGTTATAAAGCAGTGGCTGGGGCTGGTGATGTCAATGTGAGAAATTAGCATGATGTTAATGTGAGAGATTAGCATGATGTTAATGTGAGAGATTAGCATGATGTTAATGTGAGAGATTAGCATGGTGTTATTGTGAGAGATTAGAGTGATGTGAATGTGAGAGATTAGAGTGATGTTAATGTGAGAGATTCGAATGATGTTAATCTGAGAAATTAGCATGATGTTAATGTGAGAGATTAGCATGATGTTAATCTGAGGGATTAGCATGATGTTAATGTGAGAGATTAGCGTGATGTGAATGTGAGAGATTAGCATGATGTGAATGTGAGAGATTAGCATGATGTTAATGTGAGATATTAGCGTGATGTGAATGTGAGAGATTAGCATGATGTTAATGTGAGATATTAGCGTGATGTGAATGTGAGAGATTAGCATGATGTGAATGTGAGAGATTAGCATGATGTTAATGTGAGAGATTAGCGTGATGTTAATGTGAGATATTAGCGTGATGTGAATGTGAGAGATTAGCATGATGTGAATGTGAGAGATTAGCGTGATGTTAATGAGAGATTAGCGTGATGTTAATGTGAGAGATTAGCATGATGTTAATGTGAGAGATTAGCATGATGTTAATGTGAGAGATTAGCGTGATGTTAATGTGAGAGATTAGCATGATGTTAATGTGAGAGATTAGCATGATGTTAATGTGAGAGATTAGCGTGATGTTAATGTGAGAGATTAGCATGATGTTAATGTGAGAGATTCGAATGATGTTAATCTGAGAAATTAGCATGATGTTAATGTGAGAGATTAGCATGATGTTAATCTGAGGGATTAGCATGATGTTAATGTGATAGATTAGCGTGATGTTAATGTGAGATATTAGCGTGATGTGAATGTGAGAGATTAGCATGATGTGAATGTGAGAGATTAGCATGATGTTAATGTGAGAGATTAGCGTGATGTTAATGTGAGATATTAGCGTGATGTGAATGTGAGAGATTAGCATGATGTGAATGTGAGAGATTAGCGTGATGTTAATGAGAGATTAGCGTGATGTTAATGTGAGAGATTAGCATGATGTTAATGTGAGAGATTAGCATGATGTTAATGTGAGAGATTAGCGTGATGTTAATGTGAGAGATTAGCATGATGTTAATGTGAGAGATTAGCATGATGTTAATGTGAGAGATTAGCGTGATGTTAATGTGAGAGATTAGCATGATGTTAATGTGAGAGATTAGCATGATGTTAATGTGAGAGATTAGCGTGATGTTAATGTGAGAGATTAGCATGATGTTAATGTGAGAGATTAGCATGATGTTAATGTGAGAGATTAGCATGATGTTAATGTGAGAGATTAGCATGATGTTAATGTGAGAGATTAGCATGATGTTAATGTGAGAGATTAGCATGATGTTAATGTGAGAAATTAGCATGATGTTAATGTGAGAGATTAGCGTGATGTTAATGTGAGAGATTAGCATGATGTTAATGTGAGAGATTAGCGTGATGTTAATGTGAGAGATTAGCATGATGTTAATGTGAGAAATTAGCATGATGTTAATGTGAGAGAGTAGAATGATGTTAATGTGAGAAATTAGCATGATGTTAATGTGAGAGATTAGCATGATGTTATTGTGAGAGATTAGCGTGATGTTAATACTGGTAGGAACCCACTGGGGATTATTGTGTCTGTCCGTCCGTCCGTGCAGGGACGGGCTGGGTGGGGAGGGGAGGGAAGGGACTGGGTGGGGCTGGGTGGGGAGGGGAGGGTGGGGAGGGGCTGGGTGTGGAGGGTGG